GAATGTCACTAGTTAGTTTTAATGAGGCACTGAATGTGACCCTGCCAGTTCCCCCCCCCAACTGACCTGTTAGAGCTACGTTAGAGGAGAGATCAGCTGCCAGGCACAAGTTCACCATAAAATAACAATTTAACTCTAATTTAAATTTAATTTATTAAATTTAAATTTAATGTATATATTTTATGACCAGTTTTTATGCAAAACATAAGAGGTCACATGAAACACAGGTAATTTTTTGAAAAGGTTAAAAATACTGCATTTTCAATCTACTTGGTACTTCATGGTACCTTTGGCTAACCCTAACGGTACAGATAGGCTCCTTTTGGCTGCCTCCCATAACCCACATTATTTTTGTTGCTACCTGGACAGCAGAATGTCAATCACTTCAAATTTTGACAGACACAAAGAAAAAAGGGAAAGAACATTATACTTTTAATTTTTTTAGGCTCATTTCCACATGTTAGTCCTTTTTAGACCCATTTCTACATGTTAGCCCTTTTTAGATCCATTTCTACATGTTAAGCACTTTGTAGACCCATTTCCACATGTTAGCCCATTTTAGATCCATTTCTACATGTTAGTCCTTTTTAGATCCATTTCTACATGTTAAGCCCTTTGTAGACCCATTTCCACATGTTAGCCCATTTTAGAAGCCCATTTCCATGTTAGAACTTTTTAGACCCATTTCCACGTCATACATTTTTTTAGACCTATTTCCACATGCTAAACTATTTTAGACCCATTTCTTCATGTTTGTCATTATCACAACTTTTTAGTGATAGACATCTGACAGTCTTGAGGCAAAATGTCTGTTGTTTTGATGAAGATACTAGATGTGAGAAAATTGGTTTGAATGAAGCAATCTATAATCTCCTTTGCAAATGTGTTGCAAGTCACTTCATTACAAAAACATTTATGGACATGTTAAATTACTTCAAAGTTAATTGCTGTTATAATGGAGAATTTTTATAAATAAAATGTTAAATGTCGAGTAATTGGTCATGGTTAAGTGTAACAGGCAAAAATGCCCAACAAACAGAATTCTCAAAGTTCTCAATAAACAATATTATTTTATTACTTTAGTCAACCATGAATGAAAACAAAAGTACGGTATCTAAATGTTCATATCAGATATTTTACGCTAAGTTGTTTTTCTCACTGTTTTGGAGTAGCTTTGTACAAAAAAGAATAATGACCATTATATATTTGCTATAAAATATGTCCAGGTTGATGTCCAGTACTGCAATATTTGACTATGGTAGGCTTACTACTATTGCTCAGAAGTTGGGGTCACATTATATACAAGCCATATGAAAAAAAAAGCATCTTTTTCACAAAAAAGATCCAGGGTTGCACTATACATTAAGTAGACATATACATGAGTATATATGGAATTTGAGACGGCTATATTATGGATTAAAAAAGTGATAAAACCTAATCTTAGTCAAATTGACAAAATAATTTCCCAACATTAAAAGGTGATGAGCAACTCTATGATATGGGAATAAATCTTGGAAAATATTTTCTGTTAAAATGATGCTTTTTACATGTTTAGGATGGTCATAAAAAATGTTAATATGTTAGTAAAGTCATGATTCCGGGGTCGGGGTTGTCTGGATGGGGGGTGGCCCATCCCAGAGACGATATGCATGGCTGTATACTTGAACTCAGTTTGTTAAAAAGAGCTTCCAGGGCAGAAAGATGGCTGAACAATGTGTTGCCAAGCACTGACACACAATCACTCACTACAACAACATTTTAGAAATCATTGACATTGCTTTGTGACTGATTACACTTTGTAGGAAATTTATGACATGTCTTCTGTCACTCATTTTTAAGGCAAAGAGAAGCGTTTATTTTCGGTTTGTAACATTTGTGTCAAATATTGGACTTAACAATCCAGTTAAAAACATCTAACATGTACTGCATTATTATTTACGCTGTTTACATGTTGATTGTTGCTCTCATTCTTGTCATTGTTATCACAATGTTTCGGCTCTTATACTTTCTGGCCTCCATCAGGTGTAGGTGAATCTGGATAACCTGCAGTGAATTCTGAACTAAACCCTTTATCTATGGCAAAAATTTTTCTTGTTCCACCACCCATATCTAGGGATATCTCTCATTCTTATTTTTAGTACTCTCAGTTATTACTTGCCCTATTTCCATATGATCAATTTGTTTTTTTTACAGCTTATCAACCTGTTTTAAATTATTTAAAGCTAGGGGATATTTTTTGATTATAAGAAGTTTTTGGAGATAATAATGATTTTACTGAGACATGTCCTACTGTTTAACCCATAGCTGGGAGGAGAAGAGGTGGATTCATACCTTTCTCAAGGGCATTTGCACATAAGCAGATATAACAAACCTAACTAGAAATCGAACTAGGCTCGTTGATTTTCTAATTGCCAGCCATTATTCAGTACACCACCTGCACCTCCAAGCTTATAACTCCTGGTATTCTCTAGTGTTCATCTATATTGGTATTGACCATTCCCAATGTTGTTTTCATTCGGTGATTGGACAAGAACCAGTCCATTCTGGATATGACAATAAACTACATCCGTGTCTTGGGTAAGATGATAAACTACATCCAACAGCAAGGACTCTGATCAGGAGGTCTTGAGGAGCATGGAACCACCTCTTAATTGCTGGTATTCCCAGGCCCAACCTGACCCGAGGTGGTAGCACCTGTTAGGGTCCTAGCTATGGGAAAATAGTTAACCCCCAGACTAGGGTGAAAATACTATGAAAGTGTAAAAATAGACTTTAATAAGAGCAATAAACTTTTTGAGGAAAAATTAATACCAGCAATCCATTCTTGGGAAAAAAAATTACCAGCTTTATATTTTTGAAAAAATATTACCAGCAATAATACATTTTTGGAGAAAAAAATATTACCGGAAATAGATTTATGAAGAAAAAAATAATACCAGAAATAGATTTTTGAAGGAAAATATTATTAGCATTAAATAACCCATTGTGGTTAAATATGCTGTAAAACAAAACAAACCAAAATCAAGAAACAGTGTTTCAATGTAAGCCTGTTTCTGCTGAGTCCCGTCCCAGGGATTGAATTCACAAATACTGTGTTACCAAATTCTATGCTTTAATCCAATAGTCTGTTGTCCTGTCTACTGTATTAGATATGGCATATAAGACCCCCTCCCTTCCACCCTTATAAAATTTAAATTTCCTAAACTTGTAATAAAGGCACAAAAATATACTTTTTTGATCTGAGCCAAATAAGGATTATATGCACAGCTGAGAAAGTTGTAAATTTTTCCCTGGCCACAGAATTCAGTTTCAGTTGATATAGGACAATCTTTTAAAAATATTTCCTCAAAGATGAACAAGAGATTCAAGGTGACAGAGACGTGGTTCTACAGATGGATGCTAAGGATATCATGGAGTGTGTGAGCAATGATGAGGTCTTATAGAGGCTTATACTTAACATCAGGAAGAGGCAGCTGAACTTCCTGGGAGGGGCTGGGGAATCTGATACTCATGGGTCGAATAGAGGGAAAGAGAGACAAAGGAAAACAATGCAGGACATATGTAGTAGCCCTAAGCAACTGGATGACAGAATGTGGTATGGGGGAAGTGACAGGGAAGGGACTTTTTGAGAGCTGAAAGGGATAGAGGGAGGTGGAGAGCCATAACCGCCTACATCCTGAAAGGTCACAGCACATAGAAAGAAAAAAAGATAGCATCCTTGTGCCATGCTAAGTAAGAATTTATAAACCATAAATATTTATGAAGGAAACTTTTTTTTTAATCTGAGATATATACCATTTGTGATAGCATCAAAGACTACCCCCATTACTCTTATGTGCTTCAATCATGGACGATCATGGCTCTCCCCAATGTCCTCTTTTTGTAGCTCTAAGCAGTGGTTGTCCCTTTACTATCCCTCCCTGTTTATGTTTAGCCATTCATTTATACAAGCTTGTCAGGAAGAAACATATTCATGATTTCCCTCTTACCTTCAATATGGTGATTTTCTAAGCACAGTTTAAATGTGGCATAAGGCCAAATGTTTGGAGTACCAGTAAGAATTGAACTCACTACTCAGTTGTAATTGTTTTAGTAAGACAAGCTTGCTAACCATTGGTGGCCCCTCTTGATTTCAATATGTCCAACAAGTATCAATGCAGCTGACTAACACTTTAAAAAAAAACAAAAAAAAAACCTTTTTCTGGCTTCTCTGCAGCCAGTCATGTTATTAGTACTTTTCTTGTTACAGCAATGTGAACACTTCGATTCTGCTGTTAGTGAAAGGGTTATGTTTTCCACAGCCAAATTTTTATTACCTTATTCTGATGGAATAAATACTTTGTAAAATTTCAACCGGTCTTGTATTTTGCTTTTTGTTCTGTAGCCTTGTTTTCAAAATGTATTAAGTGGTATAGATACCACCTTCATAAATCTATATACCATTTCACCTGTAGGAATACAGCACTTAACTCCATAATTCTTCTTTTTCTATTTGCTGTGTGCCTTAAGGATGTGGACAATCGTGGCTCTCCACAATTTCCTGTTCTTTGTAGCTCTCAATAAAGTTTATCTTTTTGCTATCTCTCCTAATTCCTGTTCTGCCAACCATTAAAATAGCTTCTTGTTCTTCTATGTGTTGTGTCCATTAAGGAAGTGGGGGATTATAGTCCTCCACAACTTCCTGTTCTTCCTGGTTACCTCTTTACTATCTTTCCTAATCCTTGTTCTCTTAACCATTTACTTAGATTTTTATTCAGGTTACTACTGCTTTCCTCTGTCCCTCTTAAGTATATCATTGGTATATCAAATTTCAACTTTCTCTTTCTGAGTTTAAGTATAAGGGTCATTTCAATGATCAGATTAGTTTATTGTAAAAGTATAGATGTCAACCTTATTATGAGGATTCCAATTTAGAATTTTCTGTCGTTGATAATATTCTCTGTTGTTTGCAATCTGTGTGATATTTTTGTATTGCCATAAATTTATTTATTTTTTGACAGGCAATCAAAAATGGCTCCGAATCAATGCAGAACATGTATCCCGACCTCTTTGATCAACTGCTCATTTATATTGAATATGGTGTGAAACCCCCGAAATATGGAGATGTAGAAACCAAGAATTTTGGATCTGTCAAAGGACCTCAGGTTAGTATGATTATTTTGATCAAGAAATTTTCTTTTTAGAAAAAATAAAAATTGTTCCAAATCTCTCATTTTTTATGGAATAAAAAGGAAATAATGATAATAATAATAATAATAATAATTAGTGTGTGCAAAAGTTTTGAGTAAAAAAACAGTTTTCAACTGTGTAAAATTCTTTATGAGAATTTTTGCGAAGATTGTTGAATAATAAGCAGCTTTTATATATTTTCTCAGTTCATACTCTTCCCCGGTCTTTTGAACAGAAGTACAGGTTTGTCCCTTGTCACCTGCTTAGGATTGGATTTCTGTTTCCTCCTAAAGTTTTTTCATTCTCCTTCACTTCCAGTAACCCCTTGCATCTTAGTGGCATTATTGCCTCGCTTGGGGTGAATTGATTAATATATATATATATATATATATATATATATAAAAATGTGTGTGTGTGTGTGTATATATATATATATAGTCTGGTACTCCTGCTATTTACCTTGAGCTCTTTGATAAGATCCAAAGAATCATCTGCAATATTATTGGTCCTAATCAGGCAGCTCAGCTACAGTCACTTTCCCACTGCCGCTTTTCTGTAAATACTTTCATGGTAATTGTTAGAATGAGCTCTTTGTTATGGTACCCAGACTTCATGAATTTAAGTGCAGTGCAATACTGACATCGACATTTCATCAATTGACAGTTGAGCTGATTAGGTGTAACCGTAAATTCCATGTTAACAGTTTCTTTTCTTGCACTTTTCACTTGTGGATTTCCCTTCTGGCTCCATGCTTTCCGGCCAACCTTTAATCTGCAAAAATTTAAATGCAATGTCAATCACTATCTGCTGTCCTCCTTATTACTCTTCCTCTGTTCTCACCCCTTAGCAATGTTTCTGTTCCTAATTCTTCCACATCTTGTAATCCCTTGCATCTCAGTGGCTTTATTGCCTTACTTGGGATGAACTTGATTAAAAAAATATTGATAATTGCACTTTCAAGAACTTTTCATTTCAGTAAATTATTTTCTCTTTTAATATGTTCAGCATTTTTATGATCAAAATTCTTATTGAAATTATTTCTGTGTATAACTAATGCATTAGATAAATTGTTATGGAGATCTTTCTTAATGTTTGTTTTTTTTTTTTTTCACCAGTATAAGGAAAAGATATGCCAGTTTATTTTATATATGCCTACTTCACTATTATTGTTATCATGAACATTTTTGGTTCAGTCCACATATGTTGGAAGGAGTTGCAATTAATTGAATATTTCTTAGATTGGATATATTATTGAAAACATTATTTTGAGTAGTCGATAACTTTTGAAATGTATTTTGTTAGTGACTTTTTTCAGTGGCCAGGAAAATTTGAATGGTGTCTGAACCTGAAAAATATTTATATATTTTAAAATTAATTTCACTTCTTTTTTTTTCCCCATTTTTTTCATATGTAGTAAGAACTTGAAATGAATCATAAACTAATTTTCAATGACAGATATTCACATCAATGTATGTTGGGTAATCAATAATTTCACAGCCCAATGATGAAAAAAATCATGTATTGTACATAACAAATGTTTATTTTTCAATATAATCTCTTTCCTTACTAATTCTTGTTCTCTATCACTTCTCAATTAATCAGATAGGCAAATAATTATATTGGTCTCAATATAAATGCTCCTAGCTATATATATATATATATATATATATATATATATATATATAAGGGTTATGATTTTTTGTAACACTATGTTCCTGTGTGATAAACTGATGAACTTTTGTTCAAAAGTAATGAGAAAGGCATTAGTTTGTTTTAGTTTTTGAAAAAGATCACCTCCCCAAACCAAAAATTCAATTTTACATATACAGTGTTACCCGGATGTAAGAGAGTTGTCGGGACCAGAGAAGAAGTCTCTTATATCCGGGTTTCTCTTATATCCGGGTTTGGTCTATTTTATATACATTAACACAGGCTCTAATTTGGGACCAGAGACAATCTCTCTTATATCCGGGTTTCTCTTATATCCGGGTTTGGTCTATTTTATATACATTAACACAGGCTCTAATTTGGGACCAGAGAAAATCTCTCTTATATCCGGGTTTCTCTTATATCCGGGTTTGGTCTATTTATATACATTAACACAGGCTCTAATTTGGGACCAGAGAAAATCTCTCTTATATCCGGGTTTCTCTTATATCCGGGTTTGGTCTAATTTTATATACATTAACACAGGCTCTAATTTGGGACCAGAGACAATCTCTCTTATATCCGGGGTTTCTCTTATATCCGGGTTTGGTCTATTTTATATACATTAACACAGGCTCTAATTTGGGACCAGAGACAAATATCCGGGTTTCTCTTATATCCGGGTTTGGTCTAATTTATATACATTAACACAGGTTCTAATTTGGGACCAGAGAAAATCTCTCTTATATCTGGGTTACACTGTACTCAATAAAAGATAAAACTATTTCAGAAGCTTTATTTTTTGATTTGCTAATGATGTAAGTGGATAGTACTTGCGTATTTTTAATGTATTTAACAATTTATACCTATAGCATAACTTAGAAACAAACAAAAACAACTTCTAGAAAGTTTCATAAAATTCCAGAAGACTACAAAAAATTTTAGAAGGCTCCAGAAAATCATAGTACTTACCATACTTATATATGATTTTAGAAATTTCGTGTTGTGGGGTGGTGGCATTTTTCAAAAATAAACTGCATTAAATGCTTCTTCATTATTTTTTTAACCAAAGTTCATCAAATTATGAGACAGGAAATCTATTATTTTACAGAAAATACTAACCTTGATATATATATATATATATATATATATATATATATATATATGTGTGTGTGTGTGTATATGTGTATATATATATATATATATATATTTCATGCAGCAAGGGCAGACTATCATTGTTGTTTAGCATCAGTTGTTGTTTGATTTATTGAAATTGTCATCTTTGATAATTACTTTGTATTTAAAGTGTTTAGATTGGATTTAAACATGTATCAATATGGTGTTTTCCTTTTCGTCTTTCAATGATAATGCGATTAAGCTTATCAGACAATATGAAAGGAACTTACTTAAAAGAGACAAAAACTTGTCTATATTGTTTAATGAAACATGCATTAATATATATATATATATATATATATATAATAAATTCTAATGAGATCAGGCAAACCTACCTAGGTTTCACCTAAATAGTTCTTCAGGGTAGACTGGCTAAAAAGGAAATGGAAATGTTTTTTGTGAAATACAATGTAAAGGAATTTTACTTATCTATTACAGAAAAAACAGTGGATGAGGCTTTAAAGTTGGTGAAGGAGTACATTTCAATAACTGATAATGAAATCAACCTCATTAAGCATTGCGGCAAATCCCTATTATCCCATAACAATGTATTACAGATTAAAAAAAAGGAGGCAGTGGTAATTTTGACAACCCCATAGGAGCATATGACAGAGCTGAGGTATGCAAGTTAGTAGGGTGCCTCCTATTAAATAACTTAAGTAAGTTTATTGATCCTAAAAACCATGTTCTGTACAGGGATGATGAATTAATCATAATAGATAAATGTACTCCCCCCACCCCAAAAAAAGCAACATAATCTGTAAAAAATTACACTGGATATTCAAAAATTTTGGATTTAAACTAGATATACAAGTTAATTTAAAAGTCACTGACTACCTGGACGTTACCTTTGATTTACATGATGGTACAATTTCCCCATTTAATAAAAGTAATCAGCAACTGCGTTATATTGACATAGGTTCTAACCATCCTAGACATGTTTTAAAACGTATATCTAACGGCATTAATCATAGATTGTCCACTAATTCATCAAATGTAAATATCTTTAATAAAAACAAACATGATTATGAAAAAGCCTTAAAAAATAGTAGACACAAAAGCAAATTAATATATGTTGATACGCATAATTCCCCTAAAATGCAAAGCAAGCACAAAAATAGAACTAGGAAGATATTATGGTTTAAACCCCCCGCCAATATAATCTAGCAGTTAAAACTAAAATAGGAAAAATGTTTTTTAAATTACTAAAAAAGAATTTCCCCCCGACTAATGCATTGTATAAAATTTTCAATAAAAACAATGTTAAATTAAGTTATAGTTGCATGCCAAATAGGACTAACTTAATTAGTAAGTACAACAGGAGAAAAATCATAGACAAACCACGCCCCAACCCCTCTAAGTGTAACTGTAGAAATAAGGACTCCTGTCCACTTGAGGGCAGGTGCTAACAGGAGGGTGTTGGTGTACAAAGTCTAGATACATATAAATAAACCAAATAACACTAACAAGAACTCTAAAATTTACATAGGATCTACCCAAGGTAGCTTCAAAAAATATTATTATAATCATCTAAGTAGTTTTAATCACAAAACCTATAGACATAGTACCAGATTGTCCAAGATGGGATATAAAGCAAGAAAATAATAGTGACCCTATTTTGAAATGGGAAATGTTAAAAAATGGTTTAAAAATAAGGCATGTGATAAGTTTTGTTGGTTATGTAGGAAAGAAAAATTAGAGATTGTCACCTATAAGAAATCTAAGAATTTATTAAATAAAAGATCCGATATACTTAATAAGCATAGGCATAGGAGAGTCTGGATATTAGAATAGTGCTTTGGGTTTTCTTCTTTTTTTTTTTTTTTTTTTTTTTTTTTTGTCACGTGGTTTTATGTTTTTAATGGCTTTATCAATAAATACTGTTCCGCCATTTCCATTTTAAGCCAGTCTACCCTGAAGATTCGTTTAGGTGAAACCTAGGTAAGTTTGCCTGGCTCGTTAGGATTTATTCTAATTTACTGTTCTACTTAGCATATGAGCCCTCTATGTTTTCATTGTCTTTATACTCACTTGGGTTTTTTTCTTTGGACTAAGGACAATTTTTTTCGCCTTGTCCTGATGTTTTTAGTTCTTTCTTTTTTTACTTCCTATTTTTTCCTTGGGTATTAATTTTCCCTCAGGTGTCTACAAGTTCTGTCATCCAAGGTTTTTCAAGCAAGTAATACTGTTA